TTCTGTGAAGAAAAACCAGCATTCCCTTCTGAAACGAGCCCAAATCAGCTGAAATTTGGTGCTTCTGAAAGTGCCCTCTCATCTTTACAGTCACACATTCCCATGTTTGCCCAAGGTTTTGGTACAAAATTCCAACAGAGAACCCCTGGACATGATTTCATTGAAAGAAAAGGGTGAAATCAGGTCAATAAAAGTGGTGTTGGCAGGACAAGGTTTGTGGAATTCAAAATTTCCTGCCTGTGGCACAGGAAAAAGCTTTGGTATAGGTGGTCCTGGTATTTTCTGCTCTCTTCTGAAGGTATTGATTAATATGCTGTATTAATTGAGTGTTAAAATGAGATAATGATGTTGCTCAGGATTAAGAAGCAAAGGGAGGAGAAAAGATTTCGAAAACAAAATTATCATTTTAACTGAAAACTCTCCATAAAAATGCACAGGAAATAGTAGATTTTTTTTTTTTAAAATAGGTCATTCCTAAAGATCAGAAATTGTTCCCAATGTTTTTAATCTGCTTTTTTACTCTTTCCCCTTCATTTATTAATCAAAAAAAAAGGGGAGATCTCTGCATAATTCTGCTTGAGAACAAAGCAAGTTGCATGTTAGTAATTAGGTCTCTGAAGCTGTTATCCATCAGCACAGACTCATCTTCCCACTCCTCCCCTGGGACCTGATTAATTGGATTCCTCAGTGGATATCCCAGGAGAGAGAGGAACCAATGGTTCTTCCCAGTGAAGGGTATTAAATATCTCTCTCAGCATAATTAGGGTGCACACCCCATAATTGTATTCCAAATTAAAATCTGATCAATAGAGTTGCCTGTAAAAACAGAACAGTGCTGAAGAAGAGCCCATCTGAAAATTTTGGGGGTCTTGCACATATTTTTAAACTGGTGCCTTCCCTTATCCTTGTGTGTGGGTAAGAAAAACCTCTTTATTTCTGGGAGCCTTGAATGCGGCCATGGATGTGCTGCCTGTTTGTTGCCATGTGCTGAGATGAGTCAGGAACTAGAATTTTTAATAAATCCAACCTAGATTGACAAAAAAAAAAGGAAAAAAATCCCCAAATGTCCCTGCAGTGCTGAGGAACACTTGTCTGTTTGGTTTAGGGTAACACTGCACTGACAGGGAGCTTTGGGTTTTCCTTGGAGCCTGGTTCAGAGCTGCAGCTCCAGCCACGAGCCAAACAATTCAGGAGGGCTTAAAAACCCCTCAGAAACCCTGGATACACTCGAATGAGATTAAAGGA